CATTGCCCTGCACCGGCATCTGATATTCAGGTTCGAATAAAGCAACCTTTTCTTGTACCTTTTAAGTTCATTTTTCACTTAATTCCATGAAGTTTGATCACCATTTGTTAGTATCTGATAGACAATAAAAGGGACGAAATTTGCTGAAATCAGAAGAGAAACTGAAGCACTAAGTTTGTATTGCAGATACTGAGATGTGGCCCTCCTCTAATGAACAAGGCCATGGCTGCTCATCTTGAAGCTCTTGGATATGCCCCGGAGATGCAATTCCAATTTTAGTATCAGATGAGGCCTTGACCTTTTTAGACGCGATTTTCTTTAATTCTTGGGGAAAATGTGTAGTATATTGATTTACATAATGTGGAAGTAAATTTCAATAGAATTCTCTTGAAAAATTGTAACTTCTTAATTCAATAATTGATTTCCCCTAGGCTTAACTCTCTCGTGAGATCTCATTAGCCATTGCCAGCAAGTATTACGATTTTAGTACAGGTTAAATTTGTTATTCAATATTTTTTTACATTTTTTATGATGAACAATTAAATATGATCAAATAATAATAATGTTTTATTTTTAATAATTTTAAGATTCTCGACATGAATTTCATAGTTACAAAACAAATATTAATCTGTAACTTTCTTTCCTTTCAAACCACAGAGAACGTCCAAGGAAAAAAGATTCAACGGAATAATGAGCACAGCTGCACAGGCGTACGCGTCTTACACCACGTTTGGCAAAGTTTAAAACAGTAAACTGACATGTTTAAATAACTTTTATCTCAATAACAATTTAATTTTGAAGTAAAAAAGGTCAATTCTTATTTTACTATCAACATCAAAATAATTAATAATGTACTTATATAATCATAAGTAACGTTTTAAGCCGCTTCTTCAGGTATCCCCATTCTCACCCTGCTTAAAGAAACCAAGAAAACGAAGAAATGAAATTTTTCTTCAGGACAAAAAGAGAGAAAAATAATCCAAAGTATCCAACTGACATTCATAACAAATTCCTTTCTCTGTAATTTGGTGTAATTGCTCCTTTCCCTTTCATTGCCTTTCTCTCTGTTTTTCTGTTTCTGTATTCACAGTGTTTCTTGTTTTTTTTTCTTGGATACAATATTGGGTTGGTAATCTAATATTAAAATCCATTTCTTTCTTTTCATTTGTAAATCTATTCACTGTTTATTGTATCAAACAAACCCTTTTTTTTTTTTTCATATTTACATGAGTTGCTCAGATTATATTCTGTTGGGTTCTACCTTATATGCAGCACAAATTTTCTTGCTGAAAAATGTGGCTATTGATATTAAATTACATGATTTCTGATGAGATCTGTTCATAGTTTGTTGTTTTCTTAATTAGTGCTGCTTCCTTTTCTTTTATTATGTCTAAACCTCTTATTTTACCTCATAATCAAAAGGTTAGCCACAAAGATAAGAACTTTTGGTGTTAATCACTTATTTTTTTAATAAAGTTGTGGTACCTTGGTGATTTTTGTTGGAAAATAATTAGTTGCGGTAAATTGCATAACTATAAAATGCAGAAAGTAGAATTTATTGACTGATTGAGTCTTGTGACGACGCGATGTCTGACGAATGTGTTTTTACTCACAAGTTTTATACAATTTTAACTTGATTATTTGTTAGATCTTATGAGTATAGAACGTTTTGATGTGTTTGTAGTGATGTTTTAAAGGTTTTGTGAGGTGGTGGGAAATGGTGCTAAAGCGAACAAACAAGCCAATGCCAAGGAAAAGGAAAAGAAGCACCAAATTTATCTGGAGCGCCCAAGTGCCGCTTGGGACGAGTTTTGGAACAGAGATGGGCACTGCTATTGCCCAGAAGATGCAAGAAAAGAATAGAGATGCAACAGCAAAGCGTTGCACTCATAGCGCCTAGGCGCTATTTAAATTCTACATCGCGATGCGCAAGCGCTGCCCTCAAGCGCCTAGCCTAGGTAGGGATGGCAACGAGGCGGGGCGGCCCTCCCCTCCCCATCCTTGCCCCGTTACTCGTTTAAGGCGGGGAGGGGTCTTTGCTCCGTTTACTACCCGTTTAAATTTTTTTTTTAATAATTTATTTTTATTGCCCATATTCATTAGATTTAAAAAAATAATTTTTGTTGCTATTTTCTATTAAAACTAATGATAAAACTAATGAATTTTTATGAATTTTTTCATTTAAAGTATTGAATTCTAAAAAAAAAAAATTTAATGGCGCTGGGCGCCCGTTCCCGTCTCCATCCCGGGTAAAATTACTCGCCCCGACTATCCGATTAAGCGGGTTATCCCCACCCCGTTTAGGGTGGGGCCCTACGGGTATCGGGTTTGTCAGAGTGTTTTTGCCATTCCTACGCCTAGGCGTCGTGTCGCTTATTTTAGGGCTGGATGGTTTCGGCCTGTTAAAAGTTCAGAAAAACTCCAAATTTGGGAACCATGAGAGGAGAAATATAAATAGAATAAATGAGACACTTTTGAGGGGATTTTACACATTGAGGAGCACAAGATACAACTTGAGAATTCGAGAAAAAAACAAGAAATCAAGAGCTAACGTTCGATCAATTTTTTTTATTGTATCAAATTTATCTCTTTCGAGTTCTCATGGACCATATTTAACTAATTCAATCTCATATTTCTATGTCAATCAATTTTAGTTGAACGAAATAATAGTTCTAAGAATTCATCTAAGACCACAATAATTAATATATGTATCTCTACAAGTTATACTAGATTATCGAATTTTAATATGTGGTCTAAATATAAAACTTACCTCTTGATTCATAATAAATTCAAGAAAATCATTGAATTAATGATCAAGTAATTCAAAGTATTAAGTACATAATTAAAATCAACACATAAATAATCAAAGAACTTAAATCTTAAATAAAAGAAATAAAGGGTCTCAAAAGATTACATTATTTGTCCTAATAGAAAACTTAACTCATAATTATGGAAGAAAAACTAAAGATTTGCATCGAGTACATCACCGAATTTTGAATTGAGATGTAGAAAAGATTATAAATCTTGTACCAAATTTCTCTTCTTTCCTCCAATCTTGATTTCAAACCTCAACTCTTGATTTCTTGTTTTCCTTCCTTTTGATTTTTCTCTCGAATTCTCAAGTTGTATTTTGTGCCTCTCAATGTGTAGAATCCCCTCAAAAGTGTCTCGTATATTTTATTTGTACTTCTCCTCTTGTGTTTCCCGAATTTGGAGTCTTTCTGGACTTATAACGTGCCAAAAGTACCATGCAACCCTAAAATAGGAGGGACGACGCCTAGGCGCTTGAGGACAGCGCCTAAGTACTGCGATGTAGAATCTGGATAACGCCTAGGCACTATGAGTGTAGCGTCTAAGTGCAGCATATCTAACCTTTTCCTGCATCTTCTAGCAATCGCAGCACCTGGGCACTGCATCTCTATTCCAAAACTCATCCCTAGTGCTTGGGCACTCCAGGTGTGCTGCTTCTTTTCCTTGGTTGTGGCTTGTTTGTTCACTTTAGCACCATTTCACACCGCCTCACAAAACCTTTAAAGCAACATTAACAAACATATCAAAATGTGCTATACTCATGTGATCTAGCAAATAATCAAGTTAAAATTGTGTAAAACTCGTAAGTAAAAACACTAAAGTGAAATTACTCGTTGTAAACTGCTGCGATCTCTGTGGACAATTACTCACATGATACAATAATCAAACAAACCACTTGTGCAGTAATCACGAACCAAACCAAACTCACACAAATTCCACGCTTTTCACCAATTGAACACTTCATCTAACTTAGTTATTTCTTTCATATATTATATTTATTGTATAAATATCTAACAATTTGTGGTTTGAGTGTCTAAAATGGCCACAAATCTTTGGTTATCTAACTTAGTTATTGCTTTTACACTCATTATGAAAACTTACGAGCTTGAAACTTTGGTTAACTAATGAATTCAATCTGCATGTAAAGGGTTTGTGGTCTGATGTAGAAGAAGGCCCACAACTCACTTAGAGTTCTCTTTCTCGTTAAGCGCATTGAGCCGAGTACACCATGCATTCCATTTGTACGAACTGCATAGTTAAAATTAAATAAATAAATTTGTCGTCTATCTAAATTTCAAATTTGAGAAGTGATATTTCAGTCAGTGTCAACTACATCAGTATTGTTCATGTTAAGTAACAAGGTGATATGAATCTTAACTTTACTAGATCCACCATATTACATTTGGGGATCTTTGAGTATTTGCCTTCAAAAATCTATGATTCTGGAGGAGGGTTCTGGACATTATTCAGTTGACTTTTGAAATTAATCTGATAAAACAATGTCATTTGACTTGAATTAAATAAACAAAAAAACTGTATCCACTATTTTAATGAAAAGCGTGTTAAAGATTGAAGCAAAAACTCCTGGTTTTCAACATATCTTTTATCACACGTTTTTTCATTCTTGTTACTTAATTTACGTGTATCGTTACACGCTTTTGCACGTCACTTAGCAAGAAGTTAACTGTCTTCGTGTATGGTTTTCTAATTTCTTTATTGTCATTCTCCTTTGCTTCATCAAAAAGCGTTGTTAGATTTCTTCATATTGCCATTTGGTAACCCCTAATTTTTGAATATTCTAAACACACCCTAAAAGTAAATATATCATCACACTTATACACCAATAATTTCAGAATTACCAATTTTACTAATTTCTATGCATGCCGATGTGCAGTTTTTGCCATTGACATGAATGTCGTATCTTTGATTGGGGGCAAAGAGTATATTTCTGAAAATTGTGGGGGTAAATTAATATCTTCCAAATTTATTAAAACCATAATTATATTGTAATCTTTGCACCTTTTACCCACATTTCCGCGTCAACTCCTCCCTTTTTGTCACCCTATAAACCCTAAGCTCTTACATTCTGTTCCTCTTAATTTAGATTCCACAAGGAATTTGAACAAAAAAAAAAGAAGCACAATTTCTTCTCCAAAATATTGTCTCCTCTCTCCACCTTCAAAACCACCATGAAGGTGATCCATATCCTCTTCATCATTGCCATTACTATGGCCTTAACCCTTACACTCACCATGAAAAACATCAACGAACCGACCTCGAAAAGCTCGATCCCGCATTCGAACGGAGAAAAACCAGTAGCCTTGAAAAGGACGGTGAGCCGGTTTCTCGCCGAGAAAGAAAAGAATCCCAGAGCAGCTGATCATTGCATGAAGGACAATGAAATATGCCAGATTATGGGAGGAAAAAGCTCAAAATGCTGCAATAATAAGTGCATGGATTTGGATTATGATAAGCAAAATTGTGGGGCCTGCAAAAAGAAGTGTCTTGACACAGAAGTTTGCTGCAGAGGAGAATGTGTGAATCTTTCATATGATAAGAGGCACTGTGGGGAGTGCAATAACAAGTGCATGAATGGAGGTTACTGTATATACGGCACGTGTGATTATGCTTAAAATGGGCAGGAAAATCACCATGGATTGATTTCATTGATCATAATTAAGGTTTGAAATTATAATTTATTAATTATTATTAATAAAAAACCACATTTGATTTGGTGGTTATATTGTTTTGTTTTACCTTAATCCCTCAAGGATTTATCCAAGTGTAATGCAATAAGAGAAAGTGTGTGTGTGAGTGTGAATTGTGTGTATTAATAAGTCTTTAATATGATAATAAGCTCATATATTTGTTCTTTTTACAAACTATTTTTTTTCTGTGAGTGGGAGAAACAAATTGATTATTTGTTATCTTTAATTTCTTTGCCAATGAAATTTTTTTATGAGTTCTCCTGTTCAGGACTGGTGCTGAGAACTTGGACGACTATTTATTATGAGACCCTTATACATAATTTTTTTTACAAACATAGCAACATTAAATATTTAAATAAATAGCATTCTTATATTTAAACGAAGAGTGCGTACATAAGGAATTATAGAAAGATTTTAAATATAAAAAAAATAATTAGACTAAACAGGTAAAAAAAAAATTTTTTTTGAGGCCCCCGACTGGACGCGCTAAGCCATTGCCTTAGTAGCTTTGGCTCTGGGCCGGCTCTGCTCGTGTCGTAATTTTTTTAAATAGTCGATATATCTAATGTTGTTATAGAGCATAGTCGATAATGTACTGTATAAGATTTTATTTATTATTCTTTTTTTAATATTGTTCCTTATTGTTAAATGTAAAACCTACGTTGATCTAGTGTTGTTCTATATTTCTAGAGTTTTGTCTTCGCTTAATTTATGAATTAATTTTTTTATTCCAATATTAACTAAATTCTTTTTAATACTTTTCGATACTATTTAATCTCCTTTGTTGTCTTTATTGTTTAGTTAAAATTTCTTATATAAGTTCAAGTTTCATTAATGTGTATATTATTCAGTGCTTAGAAATAGTTCAGTTATTTCCTCAGTGGTTTCGTGAAATTTTAATTTTCATTATTTTTTGTCCTCAGAATCGACAATATATATATATAAACAGTAATACCACATTTTATGAAATTCACGACTTTTATCAAAACCTACTAATAATCTATTTTCAGCTACATCAAACAGGGGCTAAAAATAATGAATTATATAGTGTAATATTTCTTAATTTAAACCTTTGTGAAATCCTAAGATTGCAGCTTCAAAATTGTCATACACGAGGAGGATTGTAGTTTAAGGCTCATTAGCCTAAATGTAGACTAGGTTAGTTTGTTTTATGTACAAGCTTTAGAATCGAATGGTCAAAGAAATTTGGAAATCAAGCAAAGGTAATCTTTATTAAATTATTAATTAAGTTCCTCAAAATATGGTTGCTTCATTTTCCATAATTGACAATTAAGTTAGCATTCTTCAACTACGGATTAAAATTATGTTTGGTATATATTGGTACGTAATGGAGGTGTAAAGTCTAGTCGACCTACTCAAGACTTGGAGGGTGAAGTCATGTCCAACTTGGCTCTTTGCAAAGCCCATGGGTTGGTTTAGTCAATTCTTAATATTTTTTATAAAAAAATAAAAATAAAAATTGAACCCATCACTTGATATGATCAAAGCTCGAGGAGAGCAGTATCGGGACTTGTTTTTTGTACGAGTCGACTTCAAAAATATTTTATAAACTCGTAAGTCCTATATCAGATAATTGTACTGTCTTATCATGACTTTTAGTTGAGCGTATTAAACCCTTGCCTTAGTCATTTGACATTTCAAAGAAAATCACATGCATTCTTTATTTAGAAGGACCATTTCATAGTATACCTACAAAAATGGATCTTCACGTGTGTGATCACATGCAATAGTCGTAAATTTTGCTTCATTATGGTTCTTTTTCTTCTTTCTTTCCATTTATTTGACATGGAATGTGGTCCAATTTGATTTGCCCCTTCAAATTCACTCCAAACTCGTTAAGTGAGAAGAGCAAGGAAGCATATGGGCAGTCAAAGTTCGATCAAAATTCTTGTAGGATTTAATTATTTAAACATCGGATCGGACCTAGGCTGAGCCATCCAATTCGAATTTAGTGAAACTAAGATAAATATCATAGAATTGAACATAATCTTTTTTAGCAATTTCGAACTAGGCCAATCAGTTCGATTGAAAAATCGAGAATCGCTCCGAAATGAGGTCAAATTACGTGTAGAAAACCAAAAAACTAAAACCCAATAATATAACAACAAAACCAGGTAATCTGCAACTAGTTTTGATTATTCTTTTTCTTGTTTTAGTTGTGCTACCTCAAATTCGTACTTTTTGAAATCTTTCTCAAATGATGTCCGTACCAATTTTTAAAATTTTCTTTTATTACTCTTTCACCTATTTACTATTTTGACACCTTTTTAGTTTACTACCTTTTTTTCTTTGTTATGTTTTGTTTACTACTTAATATCATATTTTGCTCTCCTCTTAATTGACATGTTGATACTTTTCATAATAAGTTCATGTTTCATATGAATTTTAATCATACATTTTATGAAATTCACAATTTTTTCAACAATACATTTTATTAATTTTTAGCTACGTCAAATGGAGGCTTAATGTTATTACCTCTATTTTGTTTAGAGTCCGTTTTATTGGCAAATGTGAAAAGAAATTTCAATTCCATGTTAGCTTGAAAATAAAAACCTACTAAACTCATAGGGATTCGTTTTCCATGAAAATAAAGAAAATACAGCTTAAAATGGTTGTATCTTGGAATTCGATTTCAATTTTCACGTTGCGCAATCAAACGGCCAAAGTGAAATTAGTTTTCCTCGAATGTGGCATTTTCCATGAAATTCTAGGGTCTGTTAGATAGGCAAATGTGGAAAGGAATTCTAATTTTATGTTAGTTGAAAAATAAAAATCCATCAAACCCATATGAATTCGTTTTCCATGAAAACAAAGAAAATACAGCTTAAAATGGTTGTACCTTGAAATTCGATTTCAATTTTCACATTACAATCAAACTGCTAAAGTGGAATCCATTTTTTTCGAATATAACATTTTCATGAAATTCATTGCAATCAAACAACATGGCCTCAGTGTTTCTTCCTTTTCTCTAGATTGTTTGTGCTTTCTCAAAGCTGAAAGATTTTAGTAGCATGGTGAAACTTTATATCATTAAAGGAAGCTAAAAATGAGAGTAAAAGCACACGCATTTGTTGAAGTTTTTCATTCACTTGTCATATCATGAAAAAGTAACACGGTGCTAAAAACAAATTAGTACTGTGCAAACAAACTCGACACAAAGAACTTGCCCCCTTTACCGTAGAGGTATTGAGTGTCGATTAAAGCTTGATTGATCATTACATTCATTCAACTGGATAGAGAAAATATCATAAATAAGACAACTCGACTCCAATTTAAGGGTGTGTTTGAGGCTCCTTTTTTAGAAAGAATAAGCTTTGTAATAGTGATTTTAAAGAGGATGCATGATTACGTATAAATTTGTTTTATTGAAAGAATGTGATTGTACCTGCACCCTCAATTTATTATATAAATATATAATTTTGATTTTAATAGAATACTCACAAACTCTCTATATTTTCTGTAATTCGTAACAATAAAGTCGCTTAGAAGTGATCTTTTGATAATCAATTTCTTCCACTTTCATTTTCAATTACAGTCTTAAAATTTCTCATAACTTTTTTCTACTTTTTAATCACACGTTATTCTAAAACGAAAAGTGATCACTCCTTAATATATCACTCCCACACAGATACTTAATAGAAAAACAGTTATGCATAGTAATTAATTCTAAGATCACCCAACCCTTGTTTGGAGGACTAGATTAGTTAAATCTATTTTCTTCCTCTCTCTAGAAGAACATGAAAAAAAAAAAAGTAATAAATTTAATCAAAGAATAAAGTAGTCTTTATTTTTCAAATCATAATAGGCCCACCCAAAACAGCTTGAGCCCATATGTCCCTACCGCCGAGCTCGACTTGACACATTGTACATAGAGTAATAATATTTATCATCATGTCGATAGAACATCGATGACGTGATAATCCATTATCCCTCACATTTCTCTCTCTTTCTCCTTCCACTCTCTTTCGTAAAAATTGAACTATTCAATCTCATTATTCCACATAAATGTCACATCATCGATATTTCATCATCATAATAATAAATAGCATTATTCTTCAACATATTGGGTAGGCATGGTCTGACTTGGGCAAGCACCGCCTGATTTTGACATCCCACCCCACGCCACTCCTTCTCTGTGCACACAAGAAAAAGGGGAGAAACGTGCAACAAGACAAAGACACACTGTGTCAATTACAAGACATGGAATATGGGCAATTTTCATTTACTAACAGTCACAGTTAAACATCTTGCTTTTTCTTGATTACATGCATCAGTACACTTTTTTAAAGGTACTCTTAATTTCCTGTAAAATCCACATTTTATGGTACTAAAGAATGTTCAGCTCAATTAGAACAACACTTATTCACCCTTTTTGGGACTTATACTATTCAAATAAGGACTTCAAAAGGTACTTTTAAGCAGGAGCTGAACGTGCTCTTACACCATTCCTTCCTGTAACATATTCAACCCTCTCAAACTAGGAGTCTAGGACCCCAACCCCGGAAATTCCTTTTATGGGCTTCCCACGCCGAGAAAATCAATGAATGCCATGTTTTTCTTGTTAAATTTTCCATTCTCATTTTCTTCAAACAAGAAGAGATTGGACATGTTATTGGCTACTGATTCTGATGCAGAAACTTCAGAATTTGAATCTGAGTGACCTGATTGATCCACATTTGCACCATTTGTTATATGCCCTTTGCTATACTCCAGATTATTACCCTGTATGACACTGCTTCCTGCGTTGATCAGCATTTTTCATTAAGAAAATTATCGACAAACATAATTTTGTCACCATGGATCAAGAAGAAAAGGATATGCTATCAAGCCATTTTCGAAGTTTCCATGCATCTTAGATATTAAAATAAATGAAAATTGAAATATTTAGGGAGACAAAATGATCATACTCATAAGAGCTCCAATACATTTATCTGCTGGACATGACCAAAATTGCTGGAAATTGTCGATTCACTGCCTTCATTATTTTGGACCTGTGAAAAAAAGGGTTTTTTTCTTCTGTAACAATGGTTTTGTTCTCTGTGTTTTCTTGCCATAATCACATGCCAATGGTTTTTCACTGCATTGTCAGTTCTGCCTGGGAATAATTTGGCTATCATAGCCCATTTGTTGCCATACATTTTGTGCGCAGACAAAAGGGTTTCCTCTTCCT